CGGGAGGCGGTGCGGCCGGGCGCTGGCCGCGTCCGCCCGCCGGGAGCCGCGGGGCGCTCAGCCTTCCTGATGTGTCACCAGCACGTGGAGCTAGCTAGGGCCGCGCGAGCGAGTGAGCGGAACTCCCCCAACTTTCGAGGGGTCTTGCCGCCCCGCTCCTCTCCCCGCAGCGCCAGGCTCGCGCTCCTTGGGGAGGGGGGCTGCAGCGGCCCCCAGGTCCGGGCAGGTTGAGCGAGGCCCCGGCTCCCGGCCCGGCCCGCGCGCGGGGAACCCGGGACGTCGGGGTGCAGGGCCCGGCTCGCAGCTACTTCCCCGACTCCCGGCGTCGGCGACACGGGCTCGGCGGTGCGGGAAGGCAAGGCCTGCGGTGGGAGGCACCCCGCCCGCGGCTCAGCCCCGGCCCTGCGCCCCCACGGATCTGAGCGCAGGTAACCGAGGCGGCGCGGAGCTGGGCCTCGGGGGTGCGCGTGGGATCGTGGCGAAGTTTCTGGGCGTGTAACTCTAGCGCTCTCGGTTGGGGGTGCGGGGGTCGGGGAAGGCTTGGTCCCCGCACCTCCCCCACGCCCAGCATTGTCCTTCGGCCTGCGCCGCGGTGGCCTGGAAGCCGCGGCCCCGAACGTCGTGTAACCCTTCCGGGGGCTGGTTTCGGAGCCCGCGGGCCGAGGTCGGGCGGGGCGGGTGCCTTCTTTGGCGGACGCCGCTTGGGGGAAACCCAGGGCCTCTGCGGAGCAGAGCGCCTTGGAAAGCGGGCGAGATCCAGCCCGAGGGAGCCCGTCGGGGACGCGCCCGCACCCCGAACTCGGAGACGCGGGGGAGCTGAGGGCTGGGTCTTTGCGGGCGAGATGAGGGTGTCGGTTCAACTGGCCTACAAAGTCCCAGTCCTCGGCCTCCAGGATCGGCGGCTTCTCCCAAGCTCCAGGCCGGCATGGCAGGAGCTCAGCGCCCAGGCGGGAGCGTGGATCCCTGCCGGGGGCCACCTCCCGGGACCACACTGGAGCGGGGGTGGCAAGGGGAGCTCGGCGCGGGCTCTCAGGGCAGATTCGAGGGATCCCTGTGCTTCGCAGGAACAGTGGGAACGTGCTCAGAACTTTAAGGCGGTCACTGTGTGCAGTCGGTGTCAGGTCCGTGTTCTTCAGGTGGAACCGGTTCGCGCCCGGGCGGACGTGGAGTGGGGAGAGACAGCCTCCTGCTCCCCAGCTCCCCACGCGCATTAGCCCACCAGGGCTTGTCCTCCTGCGCTTTCCAGGGCGGCTGCCTTGAGCTTGGAAGTGGGGAGCATCACCCGATTTCTGGAGTTGTCCCTGGGGAGATGGGACGGGATGTGGGGGGTTTAGCCCCTGCCGCTCCGTTCCACCACTGTTTCTTCAAAGATGCGTCTTTGTGGGAGTGTTCTTTTGTTCCCTGATCTATGCAACGTAATGTTGACCGCACGAGTCCTCAAGTTTTATGCTTCTTAAACCCTCTGCCCACTTTGTTCTAGCCCCCCAAAAGAAAAAAGTCCACCAGCCCCGGAAAACTCGAGTTTGTTGGGTGTTGGAACTTTTTGTTTATTTTTGTTTATATTGTGTTTTGGCTATCTTGGCCGCGGGGGCCTTGGAAAAACATTTGGGAACTCGCAGTGAGGTGACCTGAACTGTGTGAAGGGCAAGCTGACAAAACAGGGCACCTTGGGCCCCCCTTCCACCTGGCTTTGGAAAACTGGAGAGTTTTCTAGAAGCAGGAGGAGGGTGAGGGAGAAAGCAGCCGGGTTGGCCCACCTTTCTGGAAGTTGTGCGGGGACCCCATCTGGAAGGTTTTTCCACAGGCTTCTGTGGGCTTAGTATGGAGTCGACTTTGCAGGAACCCAGGGTAGCCTCTGTCGGTGTTTTGGTGGCCCTGTGGGGGCCTGAAGGGGGTGGTCAGGTATGTGGAGGGGAGCCCCATGGGCTGTGGGGTCCCTGAGGGCAAGGTTGGGCCCGTGAGTCCAGAGGGGGCACAGCCTTGCCACTGCAGTTGGCCTGTGTGTTTTCAAGTGTGAGCTTTGTCCTGCATGCCTTAGTTCGTGTAAGCACAGATGCCACAATTATGGGAAAAGTTTTGTTTGGTCATGTATCTAAATGCACAAGTATCTTAACAAATTCTCAGTTTTGAGGCAAAACAGTCTAGGAGCGGGCTGGTGGGACCTTCAACTGGAGGCCTTGCCCTATTTAAGAAAAACGGTCTCTTCTTCAGAGTACTGAACCAGGTTGGGAAAACAAAGTTCTCCCTTTGAACCCATGCCTCTCCTGGCCCTGAGGATGAGTATCTTAAATTAAATGAAGTGGAAATCTCCAGAATGTTACATGGTCGCAGAACTGGGCTGGAGTGATGGGATGGCCGAGTTGGCTGATTTGCACCCACCCTGGAGGGGACGGACACGGGGATCGGGGACATAAATCCTGGGAATAAAGCATAAGGAGCCGGCAGTGTCCCCGGCCTCCCTGGCCTGGTTCAGGTGGCTGGCAGTTTTCCCTCCAGCATAGTTAGGGCTGACCTGGGTTTTAGGGATTTTTAGGAAATGCCTTAGTGCTTCATTGCTTTGGGGGAAGTGAGTGATTACGTTTTTCCTTCTTGGGATTTTTCCTTTGCAAAGTGTGATTGAATCGCTACACAGTGGGCTGGCCAGGCCTCCAGCAGCTGATTTGTGCTTTGATTTAAGCCGTTGTATTTAGGAATCGGGCTTTGGTTGAGAGCCTTTTGATTTTTCTGTCCCTTTTGAATTCTCATAGTTTCCTGAAACAGATGCCTCCCCCCACCCCCGCTCCTCCCTGGGTCCATCCCTGTTAGCCGGGTACCTCTTGGCTCCGTAGGGAAAGTGACTGACATGGGCAGACTTGTATGTCTTGGAGCACTCTTCTGGAAGCAGCTAAATGCAAGGTGGAAAGCTGGTGGGAGGGAAGGGTTTCAACCAGACCCCCAGGGAGACCACGGAAGACTTAAAATCCAGCTGGACTCCTGGTCCTGCCTCCTGGGAGGAAACTTGGATTCCCTCAACTCTTAAGTAGATTGCAGCCTGGTGAATAATTAACCTCGCCCTTGTAGCTCCTTTTTTTTTTTTTTTTTAAAGAAAAATCAAATTCCAACCTATGAAAGATTAAAGATCCATTTTTTTCCAGCAGGATCGGATTGGCAAAGGAAGCGTTGGGAGAACCCAGTCCTCTCATCTTCACCCTCAATGTCCTAGCAGCTCCGAAGTTTGGATACTTAGAAATACCTCTAGGGTTTCCCTGGTGGCCGTCCCTGGGAGTGGCCTCTGAGCTGCTTCCCCAAGTCTCCTTCCCGTGCCTTTGCGCAAAAGCTGAGCTTTCTGAACCCCCCCCCCCCCCGGCGAAGGTCAGGCTTCTGTCCCCTGCTTTGCGATTTGTGTGGCTCTCCCTCCTGCACGGAGTGGATTTTGCTGCCAGGTTGTCTGCGGCTCTCTGAGCACAATAGTAACTGGCCTGTCTCTGTTCTACACAAAAGAACAGCGCTTCTAATCTGTGACACATTCGTGAAAGAGTTGTCTCAGAAGCAAGAGTTCAGCTTGGGTTTTTCTGGAAGCAGCCTAGTGTGAGGGCCATGAAGACAGACCTTGGGTCCAGACGGGCTTGAGTTGGGAGTCCTAACTGCCACTTACCTTGGACCAGTAACTTCTCTGTGCCCATTTCTTCCTTTGTGAACAAGAGTTTGCTACCTACGTCGTCACTTCGTGGTGAGGCTTATAGGAAAAATGGAGGTTCAGTGCCTGGCACACACCAGTGGACCTTTGACTGGTGCTCATCTCCTCGGCTCTCTTATTTGGAATCTGCATACGTGTCAGTTGAGAAGGCTGCAGAGTGATTGAGACCTCAGGCTGGTGGGTCTGGCAGGTTAGAAGGTTGTCTCTATTGCTGTCTAACGTGTAGCCTTGGGCAAGTTACTTAACCCGCTGGGAACAGCAGCTTTGTAATCCTAAAGTGGGGATGATGCCTGGGAACCTCCTTCCCCCGGCTCAGGCTTTCTTGTCTACCAACCACGTGTAGGGGCCGGGGCCCACCTAGGATTATAGCTGTAATACGGGCATGGTCCCTGGCTGCCCACTGGGATTTGTCCTCCAGCTCTGAGAGCAACTGAATGGTATCGTTGAGTCCTCTTGTACCTGAGGCTGAGGCTCAGAGGGGGAGAGTCTTCCCCAGCATTTCATGGCTGGGTGTAGTAGGGCTTCCCAGGTTGGGAGCCAGAAAGCGTGAGCTGTGGAACGGGAGGTGGATGGGGCTGGATTAGGCAGCACAGAGTCTTAAAGTACCCTGGATGTGCCAGTGTGGCCACCTCGAACACCTGCTCTGCAGTACCTCCAGCCTGAAAGGCCCGAAGATTCTGGTTCTGACGCTGAGCACATTTCATGAAAGGGCCCCAGGAAGGATGAACTGCCACAGCTGCTTTTGGCTTGTGGCTCACTAAATGCACTCTAGTGGGACCAGTGAAGCAGGGTACAGAATCAAAATGGGGGTGGTGGTGGAAGGAAATAAGTTGATATTCCAAAATACACTGCAGGGTAATCAACACGGGAAATAAAAATCAGAATTTTGTTGGACTTCCTTAACTTTTTTTTTTTTTTTATGGCTCAGTAATGTTTTGATTTTGTGTTTCAAACCAGTGATTGAGAGAGACCAGAATCTTTTCAGTGCTTTAGAGGCCTTCAAGCAGTGGCCTGGGCTCACAGACATCCCCAGAGCAGGTGACTTCTCACCCACTGCGCAGCTCCCTCCCTCCTCCCTTTGGCAAGGTCTGGGGAATTTTGAAATCGCCCTGTAGCCAGACCCCTTGTGTTTGCTGTCCAGGAGAACTGGGGAGGGAGGTGCTGTGTGGAAAGAACCACCTCCTGATCTTAATCTCTGCTCTGCCACTCCGAGCTGAGAGTCCCCTTCTCTGTCCATGGGGGGGAATTGGACTGAATTCAGCATACCCCCCTGGTAGCCTTAACTTCTCTTCCACGATTCTGAGCCAGGAGGCACAGAGGAGGGCACAAGTTTGGAACCTGGGGCTGCGGTTGGGAGGGGTGGGGAAGGGACTCAGAGATGTGCAGCTGGGAAATTTGGATCAGTCTGTGAAGACTTTGTGGTTCATTCTCATGAAACTCACTTCCTCTCACTGGATTTCTGCCCTGGGGGGGTGTGGGGTTCAAGGGAAAAACTAGCTTCTCCTTCTTGGTGACTGAGGCTTTCATCCTGGTCTTCAGTTTTCTCTCTCCGTGTCCTTTGCAAGGTAGACCTCCCCCACTCTTCCTAAACACAAGGAAATAGCATTCCTGCTTATCTGCTGATGGCACCTGGCTTTCCAGAGATTGGTGGAAGACAAAATCCTTTCCTGCTGAAGGCAGGCATTGGCGAAAGGGCGTAGGCTTTGCAGTTGGAAACCAGGCTCTCCCAGGACTAGCTGTGAGTGACTTTGG